AAGAGTTGGCAGAATGTGGGTCCTAGGACAGGACTCCTATATTGAAGTCCACCCGCCCAGCGCTCAGAGACCATTGTGGAAGAGGGGGCGGAAAGATTGTAAGACCCAGGAAGGAGATGCATGACCATATAGAAATGGTCCTACAGGCACCTGGGACCCTTCTCATACAAACTTATGGCAATGGTGTCAGCATGCACAAGACCCATGCAAACTTATGCAGACAAAAACCCAGCACAGAACTGTGGAAATTAACAGCAGGCCCCAATCTTAATGGAGGAATTATTAGCAGCTGATTGCTGCTGGGTGAGGATGAGCTGATCTTCTTCAAAGGAAAGACTCTAGATAGGCTGACTAGACCTCAGTGGATGAATTTGCACTGAGGGACATCTCGGGATACTAACTTTACATAATAGGCCTAATACAAATGACAAAATGTATGAAATCAGTGGGGAAGGGGGGCAGCTATGGAACAGAGCCAAAGGGAAATGGGGTATAAAGATGATTTTCTGTATGATATACACAAAAAGTCAATAAAAAATTAAAAAAAGAAAAACGATAAGCATCAACTAAGGACAATGGTTAAAAGGTTTTGGCTGTGTTCACAATGTATGGTTTCTTTTTAAAAATATTTAAAATTTATTTATTTTTATTTTATGTGTACAAGTGTTTTGCCTGCATGTATTTAAGTGCACCACATGCATGCAATGCCCATGGAGGACAGGAGAGGGCACTGGATCCCCTGGAACTGGAGTTATGGACAGTTGTTAGCTGCCATGTGGGTTCTGGGTGCAGCCAGTGCTCTTAACCCTTGAGTCATCTCTCCAGCCCCCACCCACATTTATTTCTTAATCTGGGCAGTAGATATATGATTAAACTTTGCATTACTTTTTATAATATCTCAAATGTTAAAACTATTTCATAATAAATTCTATAAAAGAACAGATCCATCTGTCAAAAGGTTAATACTATGCTCACCACAGTAACCAATTCCTGCTGCTTCTACTAGTTCGGCAAACTCCTACTGTGCCCACAAAGACAACAGCTCTTCCACACACAGAAAAGACTATGCTGGAAAAACAAAAGCAAATTCTTCCCTTTCGCATATCTGAGTCATGTCTGTAAGTCATGTTTATCTTCACTTTTTCACATTGCTACTAAGAAATCGTGCTAACCCCTCCTTTTCTACATTCTGCAAGTATGTATGCTATGCTCACTCATTCAGCAAACATCTTGAGTACTGTATATTAATACAGAGCCAGGAGCACAGCTACTGCATGGTAGTGTCTGAGCCCAGTTCAGAAGCCAGGCCATGGTAACAAAGCATCAGGTAGAGAGCCAGAGTCAAGCATGAAGTACTGTAGGAGTGCAGGAGGCAGTGGGGCTAGATCACACAGGGATTTGCTGGTGCTTTGGAAGAGCTGCTGTTTTCTGCACACTTGCGCAGAGGACAGTAGCAGAGGAAGAAGTGGGGTTATCATAAAGCCTGCCTTAGCTCTGCAACATTCAAGTGCCACACCCAGGAATCTGGAAGCATTCTGAGCGGGCGCCCAAGTGATGAAGTTAGAGAAATAGGAAGGCTCAGATCAAGAGGGACATATACACTTATGCTAAGAGGCCTGAGCTATGAATTAACTGCTTCCAAAGTGGGAAGAGTCTCAGGAGCCAAGTGGAGCCCAAGGCAGCAAGGCTTCCCAAAGGAAAAGAATGTAAAAACTGAAACCATGTCCTGGGGACAGAATGCATATTAGAGAGTTATGGGAGTGGGTGGGGGGGGGGGGGAAAGGCAACTCCTGATGATGAATGGCAGATTACTGACACATTTCTTTGACCCCAGCCCACTCCAGAAAAGAATCAAGTTTAGTTTGGTGCTGGGAAGAATATGCATGCTTAAATTCCTACTGTTCTTCACATCAGCGCCAAGAAATATTTTCTGACACAAGACCTAAGCTGTCCCTCAGATGAGTCACACACTGGCTGAGCACCAAATCCAGGGCTTATCTCAGAAGCCAACTGGCCTAGCCACCTGACCCAAGCACCTCTGCCCAGTCAACAGAGTTGAACAAGGTGAGTCCTCTCTGTCCCGTACATTGTAGCTGCACTTTTCTAAACTCACTGCAGTTTGCCTTCAGCAAACACCTTCACAACTCAAGATGGATCGACCATGTTTCTCCTCCAGGAATGAGCAATAAATGCACATCAAGTACCTAATAATAATGCTCCATGTGACAGGCTAGGAAGGGACAATAAATAAGGATACAGAAAGGACCAGTACAGTGCTGAAGTCAACAGTGGATGCAGAAAACATTCAAGGAAAACAGCAGAACTGAGAGGGAATGTAGAAAAGGAGAAAAGGATGCTGTTCAAAGGTAAAAGACATCAAAGATCCCTATCTCCTGGAATGCTAAACACCCATCAGGTCACACATTCTACCACTTACTGAGCTTCCGGGTATGTGACGACCTAGGAGAAGGATTCCATTGTGCTTGGTGGGCTTCTAATGAGAAATCATCTTGGGTCTTTTTGGTAAGAAGCAAAACAAGCAGTCTTCTGATGTACAGCATGCAGCCAGCCACACAGAACAAGCACTCCAACTCTGCCCTCCCCGGGAAGAAAAACTGCATACCGGTGAATCCATTAAGCAATGAACCAACCAAGAAAAAATGAGACTGACTATGCCTCTAGCCTGTGGGCCAGGCCCAAAGTCTGTGAACCCATAGACTGGTTCTGTCTACTTATGGTTATGATTGTGTTGGTTTTTAGTGGCTACATGGCCCTGTAGACAAATACGAAGATTTGAGACAAGAGTTCCCAGAATCTTTTTCAGATGAACTGATACCAAATCGGCTATCATCAGGACCTGACATTTACAACTGCAAAAACATAAATCTACTTATCCAAAATAAGTATCCCTGAGCAGCTTCTAGTCAATGTTCCAGATTCAGGTCATAATTAATTGATTTAAGAACCATTTACTGTAAGAAGACCCATCAGTTCCCATAAAGTTAACACACAAGCAAATGCCCTCAAAGCCCACTAAGATTGACAGCTCAGAGAAGCCCTGCTTACAGAAAAGACAATGAACAGATGTGGCCCCTTGAATGCAGTTGTTCTCAGAGGCTGCAGACCCCCAACCTGTGCCTTTACAAAAGCCTCTGATCCCACAGGTGCTCTCAGCTCAGGTCATCTTCTCCTTCTATGCAGGGGTGAGGGACTCTCCTACATGTCTATATTTCAAAACCCAGGAAAGACCTTAGAAAGAAAGCACTCCTTCTCCCTTACCCAAAGACCTCCCAGGTTTCCATGGCCCACCCTAGGATGAAGGCCACTGACAGCTCACATCATGGGGAGAAATTCAGTCCTCCCCACAGAGGTGCAGCCTTCCTCCCACCAACACACTGGGACAGAGCTTCATCAACACAGATAAAACACCCACTCAGTGACATCTCTAAAGATGTTAAAATATATAATGGGGGGCTAAGGGGCTAGTGAAATGGCTCAGTAGTTAAGAACACTGGTTGCTCTTGCAGAGGACCCAGGTTCAGTTCTCAGTACTCACACTGTGGCTCACAACCACATGTAACTCCAGTTCCAGGGGATCCGACACCTTCTTCTGGTCTTCGAAGGCACTGTACCCACATGGTCCACTTTACATACAGGCAGGCAAAACACTCATACACATAAAATATAAATAAATTAATTTAATTAAATATACAATGGTGGAGAGAGATGTGTTTTAAAGGGAGCACCAACAAGGGGATGACTGAACTATGTTAGCAATGAGGGAGGAGCAGCTTGCATGCCAGGGCCCTCGTGGACAATCTTGATGGGTGTGGCTGCTGAGCTGACTCCCCAGAGGCAGGAAGGTGTCTGCAGGTGAACAAGTAGGGAGCCCATCTCTAGGCAGAGCACACACAGCATAAGCAAAGACCCCAGCTTGCCCTTATCTCCCACTCAGACTAGACCCCTGCTATGATCTAGATATAGATTATGTATTGAAGGCTTGGTCCTTAGTGTAGCAGTGTTGGAAGGTGGTAGAACCTTTACAGGGTGGTCAATGCATAGTGGTTACATCAGTGGGAATGTTTCCCTCTAAAAAGATTAATGTAGCTCTTGTGGAACCCTGGTGAGTCCCTCAAGAATAATCTGTACTAAAAGAGTATAAGCCTGACCCCCAGTATTCCTGAGTTTCTGTCTTATCACATGACTTCTTCTCACACATGCTCCCATCATGATGCATTCTGTCATGAGCCTTAAAGGGAGACTTCACTAGAGGTCAAACAAATGGGCCTTCCTGGTCTTGGACTCTGAGCCATCAGAACTGTGAGCTAACTAAACCTCTTTTCTTTATAAGTACCCAACCTCAGGTATTTTGTTGTAGCAACAGAAAACAACCCAACCAAATCCTTAATATTAAGAAATATGTCTTATCTATCTCTTTACTCCCATAGCGCCAGCCTTGCATGGTGTTTAAACCTCATTGAAAGCCCAGTGAACAACAGGCGAAGAACTTCAATCCAACACATTAGCTGTTATTTCTAACACAAAACATATGCCACATGCCAGTCTGAAAAGTGTTCTCTCTAGATCTTCATGAGGACAAAGACAGAATATTTGGGCAAGAAAATACACCTCATAAATAAAATCAGACAGAAAAATCCACTTCACTAGAATATAGCTTATAGTAATTACACATGAATACAGGTCTACAGGTTCTTTACTGGGACATGGGAGATGGCTCAGTAGATGAAGTGCCTGCCATGTGAGCACGAGGACCTGAGTTTAGATTCCTAGCAGTCACATAAAAACCCAACTCCAGACAGAAAATCCTGGAGCAAGGTAGCTCACTAATTTAGAGAGCCCCTGCCTTGGTGAATATAGCAGAGAGCAAATGAGGAAGACACTTGATGGCTACCTCTGGCCTCCACATGGCACACCTGCACACACACGCACCTATACATATGCAAACACATACACACAAATAAGAAAAGCTCATTACTCACCTATGTTATTTTTCCTTGATATACTACTTTGCTCCAAATCCTACATTTGAAAAGAGAAACAGATGAATTTCATCATATAGCAGAGTGAGCAACACAGTAAATTTAAACAATCTGCATTAACACTTGGGACAAGACTTGAGGATAGAGCTGAAAATGCTTCCATCAAGTAAGCAAGCTGAAATGTAAGAGGCAAGCAGGAACAGCATGCTTCACATTGCTCCAGAAGCTCGGAAATGGGACTGCACCCTTTGTACATGATCACTTATTTGGGGTAAAGCTTGTTCCTCCTGTGTAAGATGATGTCCCTGGGAAAGTTAATTCTAGAATTCTTGTCAGCTCTAAAGCATTATGAGAATACCAGATACAGTCTGAATGCTGGCAGGCGTGCCTTCTACTTCCCCCATGGAATGACTCAAGTGAAAATGTTCTCTGCCCCTCCACCTTGGACTTCCCAGCCTCCAGAACTGTAAGAAATAAATGCCAGATCTTTATGAATCAACTAGTCTCCGGTATTTTGTTATATTAATATACATGGTCACTAGAACTCTTAGACCCAAAGGGGTGCCTCAGGGCTGGTGAGCCCCAGTCAGAGAAATTAAGATATGGGCACAGAAATACCTGATTCTGGCCGAGTAATTCCAGAAGGAACTGTGAAAAGAGTCTCTAACAAAATGTAAACAGCTTAAAGACCAAGATAAAGCCACAAAGAGAAATGGTCTGAAAGAATGCCCAGGGTCCATTAGACAGAGAGGAGACGAGCTAATCTAATATTTTCCTTTATCTCAAAAAAGACAAAGGAATTTCTCAGGGTGCAACAGTTACTGGCACAAAACCAGGATTAAAAGCCTAGGTCTTCTTCGTCCTTCCCAGTGCATCTTCCTCCTCAAGTCACCTGGAGGTCTTTGGACACAGAGTCAGCTCAACATTTATGTACAAGAGTCACCTTCAACAAAGTGAAAGAGGAAGAGGAGAACTTCCCAGAACTCGGTGGTTCCAGAACTGGGTCATTTCAATAAGCTAGACCATCTGCTAGACTTTCTACCAGATAGCTTTGTGACATCAAAGAAAACCAATCCAAATTATGTATCTTTTTATTTTTTATTAAGCCCTGTAGCTCAGACTGGCTGACACAACATCTAGGAAATGATTAGCTATTTCAAATGACTCAATTTGTAAACTGCAAAAACAAAATACCCAAGGAACAGTTGAACTGGATGAATTGAAACCAAAATGGTCTTGAGTAATTTCCCCTTTGAGAAAGAAAATTGGACAAAATGAAGGCATTGACAGAACATTTAAAATCCTGCCTTTGGCCTCCCTCATGAATAGGCTTAGTTCTTCCTAAGAAGAAAGAAACACAAGGATTGTTCTATGATCACTGTTGCTGCATGTTTCTTACACTATCAATATTAATCAAAGATGTGTTCACTGTCAAGGCTGTATGTCAACTGCTATTCGGACAGGAAAGAGATCTGTTATTAATGTATCTATCCCAGAGACAGCTCCCAACATGGACAGAAAAAGACATATCCAAGTCACCTGGGATTCATTTTTTTAAGCCACAATAGATCTGAACACTTGCGGTTTAAACATCTAATGCCTCGTTTTTAAGTTCTTCACATAAAGAATACAGAACACTCTCAAAAGAATGTCGCAGGAAATCTCGGACAAGGAGAGATAAGTAAAATACCATCTTCTACCCAGGCACTACAACCCTCTAGATTTACAAAAAAAATAAATAAATAACACAAATGTGTTCTCGTCAGGGCACTTGCTGTAAGTTGGTCCTATGTTCTCATTCTACCACTTACTGACTCACATCTCAGGGTCTGATCTGGAAAATAAGAATAATAATTCAAGAACCACTGCCCAGCGCTGTGCTAATAAATGCTGAGTACAATGGCTACACAAAGCAGATGCTCAACAGTCACTGGCTCTTATCTCCATCTAATCACCATTACTGATTTTTTTCATATGCAGTCAACTGCTTCCACAGAAGAGACATGAGGGGTGATTGTCTCTTGAGATGGCCACGCCTACTCTAGAGCATGTACCATGTCCTTCTCTTACATGTCTCTCTCCCCTGTGACATGCTTGTGCTTAACTCTATATTAAAATCTCTTCTTAAGGGGCTGGAGAGATGTCTCAGTGGTTAAGAACACTGACTGTTCTTGTAGAAGACCCAGGTTCGAATCCCAGCACCCACATGGCAGCTAACAACTGTCCGTAATTCCAGTTCCAGGGGATCCAACAGCCTCTTCTGACCTCCGCGGGCACTGCATGACATGGATGCACTTACCTACATGCAGGCAATACACACATATACATAAAATAAAAATAATAAATATTTTTTTAAAAATATTCTTAATAGGCTCCAACTTTGCTTTAAAAAAGAAAGCACTTTAGCTGATGAGAGCAGTTAGGTCTATTACTTTAACTTGTTTAGGTAGACTAGATGGTTCCTGCAATTTCCTGACATTTATTATTATCAGGTAAATAATTAATTAGGACATGGCCACTACTGTAAGTTGCAAATACATACACAGACATAATCTTCAAAGCAGCCATTTAAGGTAGGCCTTATTCCTCCCTCTTACAAATGACAAAGCTGAGGCTCACTGAGGCTCCCTATGGCCCCAGCTGGTCAGTGGTAAGGAGATGACTCTGGTTCCAGCATCCTGCAATAACCTTGTATCATACAAGATAAAAACAGCGTGAGCCCCCACAGGATATAAAGCCAGGCCATACCGCAGAATGAAGGCAAGTTCATGGCCATGGCTAAGGCAACATCTACAGCCTGGTGTATACTCCTAGAATGACAGGCTCCTCTATAGCTGTCTTGGGTCAAAATATAGGGCACTGTCAGGCACTTGGGATCTGGGAAAGGAGCTGAACCCAAATGTCAAGCCATACACAGCATATCAGGGCACCAGCAGTACTCAGGAATTTGATGTAAACTCAAACCAAAATTAATCACATTGTTTAGGGCAGGAACACAGCCCTGACAAGGACTGGCCTGAGCTGAACAGAGAGCCTTACTTGGGACCCTTGACTAAAGCATAGGTAAGGATTGGGCATGAGGCAGCCATTCAGGACAACAATGGCAGGACAGATCCTGTTCAATTCTACCTGTGATGAATTAGTCACAACTGAAAATTTAGCCTTAAATTCATTTTTTTGAGGGGGGGTGCATATGAAAATATATTGGAACGGAAAAAAATGATTTACAAGCATTAAGACCAAAACTGATGCCACCAAATCATGAACTCATAAGTTTATAACACAAAAACCCCCAAAACAAACTTTTTTTAAAAAAGCAAAATAATGTAACAAACCAAAGTCTAGAGGAAAAAATAAGTCTTACACAGCTATTAAGCAAACAGCAGCTGGGCATGGTGACCCACACCTTTTAATCCCAGCACTTGGGAGGCAGAGGCAGGCAGATCTCTGTGAGTTCAGGGCCAGCCTGGTCCGCTTAGCGAGTTCCAGGCCAGCTGGGACTACAGGGAGACCCTGTCTCAAAAAGACCAAAAAAAAGAAAGAAAACAGCAATCACTCAATAGAAAATAATATTGACATGTTACAGAAAATATAATCTTCAAAAGTAGGAGAAAGTGGTATTAAATTCAAATTACAAATAGCAGAAAAATGCAAATTAAAACTGTCATAACATTTTCCACTTAGCAGAGTGGCAAAATCAAAGTTTAAAACCCAATTTCAGCAGTTATACAGGAATGGCACTATATAACATTACAGAAAGAATTGAAAGTTAGTAAAACTTGCCCTTCTGCAAATGTACATATAGTCTAAAGTACAAATCCAACCCAGGGATAGAGTTTTAATAAATATTTTCATATAGAAATCAAGTAATATGTACAAAGATAGTCACCTCATTCTTCATTTCAAAGGATCAAAGAGCAGCTATGTACCTCGGGAAGTGACTGGTTCAATGAATCAAAAACACTAGGTAGACAAAGACCATGAAGGAGGAAGCCAGTCTATGCTTTCTCTCTACTATATTTCACTTTGAACACTCAGAAGCATTCAAGGGAATCATTCTTCAATGGTTTATAAAAAATAGTTACAATTTGGGGGAGGGGGGGAAGAGTCTCACTACATAGCCAAGTTAGCCTTAAATTCTGTCTCCAGGTTCAACAACAGATTTTGGACAACCTTGGACAAACTGATCATTCTCCCAGTCTCAGGCACATGAACTGTACGTGAAAACTGCCTTCACTGCCTTTCTTGTGGGCTGTGGCACCTACACATAGATACAGTTAATGGCATTTTTCAAGAATATTAATACCTGTGCATGAAAAATGACATAAATGTATAGGACTCTATACTATGTATGTACTTAAAGACTTCAGTCTCTGATTTGTAAAAAGTGGTTAAAGCCTACCTTTGAAACTGGAGAGATGGCTCAGTAGTTAAAAGCACTTACTATTCTATTCAGAGAACCTCGGTTCAATTCCCAGTACCCACACAGAGGCTAACAACCATCTGCAATTCCTGTTCCAGGGGATCCAATGCCCTCTTCTGGCCTCCTCAGGCTCCTGCATGCCTGTGGTGTGCATATATACCCACACAGGCACACATATATACAAAATTGTAAATAAATAAATAAAACATTTTTTAAAGTAAAAATAATTTCTAAATTCATTAAACAAAATTTTAATTTTCTGCTTACAATGCCTGGGTAACACCTTAAATTCATCACAAGCATCCTCACTCACTCTTACCAAACTCACTCATTTTAATAACATAGAACAGGGTAAAAACACAAGGATTCCAAATATTTGAATCTTAGCTTTTAATAATCCTGTGACCTTGGTAAAATCAATTTCTTTAAGGCCAAATCTCTTCTGCTACAACTGGGAATATCTATTTTTGCTTAACAATAGTAGTACCACTGAGAAGATCAAATTAAATGAAATGTGTTAAAATGCTTTATTAGCCATAAAGAATCTTAAAAATCATAAGAAATTATTATTATTTTTTCTTTGGAGGAATTCCACAGCACAGTTAGAATTAAGAATACTCTGTTGATAAAAGAAACAGAAACACTCTATTAAAAACTGCTTTTACAACAATGGTAGAGTAAAAAGTAGACTCAATGAAGCCTTAATTAACATAACAAAAATGAGTATTTTCAAAATCCTGGTCTCTTTCTCATATGTTAAACTGACCCCCTGAAAAGCTCAAGTGGTAAAAAAATTACATTCTTAAACACAATCAATGATTAAAAATGGTGACTCTGGGGCTTAGAGAGGCAGCTCAGTGGTTAAGAACACTGGCTGCTCTTGTAGAGGACCCAAGTTACATTCAGCACCTACATGGTGGCTCACAACTGCTTATAACTCCAGTTCCAGGGGATCCAACACCCTCTTCTGGCCTCTGTGAGCATTGCAGGCACATGGTGCACTTAAATACATGCAGACAAAACAGCCATCCATATAAAATAAACATAAATAATTTTTTTTAATGATGACTCTGAGACTTTAGAAAAGTGCTATCCATTCTACCTGTCCCAGGCCTGGCTTCAGATTCTGAGTGAACAAGGAATCTGGCAGCTTAGTCAACTTTGGAGTATCTGTCACCTTCAAGGTGATGGTGATTAGGCTCTGGACACCCCTATGACATAGAAAATCCATTCACTGACCTGGAGATGAAGCCAAGGGCAGGAGGATATAGTGAAACTTGAGAAAACTAAGATAGCCAAGATAGGACATCTTAAATCTCTGTACTGAGACACCTTTTTCCTAAAGTGACTGAAACCCAATCAACGTTTTAACTATAGCATGAATTTTTCTAAAGCAAATCTAGGACCGGGAAGGTGGCTCAATGGGTAAAGCACTTGATGTGCAAGCATGAGACCCACAGCTCAGATCCCCAGAACCCATAAAAGCCTTGTGGGTATGGTGACAACCCATGATCCCAGCACCGAGGCAGAGCAGAATGCCTGAAGCAATCTGGCAAGCCAGACCAGCCAAAAAGGCAAGTTCTGGGTTCAGAGAGATACCCTATCTCAACTCAGTACATAAGGAAGAGAGTGATAGAGGAAAACATCCAACATCAACCTCAGACCTCCGTGTGTTTGCACACACAAACACACACACATGGACATTCATCTGCACACACAGGAACACACACATGAACACCACAAACTAACATGTACATGCACCTGCACAGGAACACACACACACCACCACCACCACCACCACCACCACCAAAAAAGCAAAATTACCCATAGATTGCTGTTAGAATTTCAAAATCTATATTAAGGGCTAGAACAATAACTGTTAGTAAAGTGCTTACCATACAAGCATAAGGACCTAAATTCAATCCTCAACACCCACATTAAAAAAGCCAGGTGTGATGGCACATGCTATAATTCCAGGACTGAGGAGCAGGGATAGACAGATCCCTGGAGCTCCCTGGCCACCCAGCAGAGCCTAATCAGTGAGATAGCCTGTCTCAAAAAGTAAGATAGAACTGGGCAGATATCTCAGTAGGTAGCAGTGCTTGCTGCACAAGCATAAAGACTTGAGTTCAAAGCCCCAGAACCCATATAAAAAGCCAGGTGTAGTCATATGCACCTTTAACCCCAGCACTGTCAGGAGGTACATACAGGAAAATTGCTGGGATTTGCTGACTGATGGGCTAGCTCCAGGTTCAGTGAGAGACTGTGTCTCAAGGAACTAAGAGAGAATGATAGAGCAGGACATTGTCCTCCAGCCTCTGCACATGCACACATGGGGGCATGAACTCACACACATATGTACACATATATCACACAGTACACTACACACACACACACACACCCTAAGATATTGAACAATATCTTAATTCTTATAACAACAAGAAAGAAACATGCTAACTATTGAAGGATGAAATCTTTACATCTCCCATTAAATACAGAAGAATGTCAAGGAGAAGGGTGACCATTGGAATTAGTACCTGAGAAGGCCTGACTTCTTTCTTTGTATCTTCAGATGCCAAAGCAAAAGCTGGGGAGGGAGAGAAACATTTTTACATTAAAAAAAGCAATTTGAGCTCATTCTCAAATTCAACAGTTTTGCTTACGATAAGAAAAAAAAGGATATTTTAACAAGATACGTTTTGCTCATTTTTAAACAGCTGCATTACTACAAACAAGTATGGCAGGTTTTCTTCATCTCAGACCTAAAATTATTTATCAGTGTAAAGCCAACCTGCTTGAACTACAAAGAAATACAAAATCAGAGCAATTAAAATCTATGTATACAATTTTGTAAGCAACAAAAAGATGGATGAAAAATATTTCTTCAAATCCTTGATTTATATGTCTTCTTTTATTATTAATTATTTTTATTTTATGTGTATGAGTGTTTTGCCTGCATGTATGTGAGTGTACTGGCCTCGTGCAATGCTGCAGAGGTCAGAAGAGGGCGTCAGATTCCCCTGGAACTGGAGTTAAGGATAGTTCTTAAACACCATATGAGTGCTGGGCATAGAACCCAGGCCCTCTGCAAGAGCAGTCAGTGCTCTCAACCACTGAGCCATCTCTCCAGCCCTAGATACCTTCTTAAGTACAGGAACATTCCTGAGAATCCAGAGGGCCATACCAATTCCTACCTTCATCATCCCTGACAAAGCCAGACATGCAACAGAACTGTGAGCCAGCAGTTCTTAGGTGCTGCATGGTTAGAAGTGTAAGTATGCAGAGTCCTACTGAAACTTCAGGGCAGGAGACTAAGGGAATTAAAATCATTTCCCATTAGGAATTATTGAATTTTTTAGTTAGAGCTATAAATAGGCAAAGATCTCCTTAGAGACACATTTTGGCTGGGCATGAAAAATAATAACAACAATGTGACATTTATTTACACTTTGAAATTACAAAGCAAGATACTAAGCCAAACAGTCAGGGAGGTTAAGGTTAAAACAAAACGTAAATTGTGTAGTGCATTTCTCCTAAGGAGCCAAGAGGAAAGGACTCCAAAGGGTTCCATTCCTCCAATCAGCATTCCCAGAAGAAATGGGCACTGTCTTAGGTCAGGACACTGGGGAACAATAATGTAGTTCAAGGAGCATCACATCTTGGGGGACATAAGACCCTATTCTACATGCAGGAGACAACCCAACTATGTGGATCCTGTCTGTCTAAATCCTCCCCTTCCCACCATACCCCCAAGGCATCCATTGTTTCAAATTTTCCATTAACATTTGCTCGAAGGAAATCATCTAGAACATAGTCTCTCTAAAAAGTAAATGACTAACATGGTTTAACCACTTCCATTTCCAGAATGACATTTCAAAAGGCAGGGTGAAATGGAAACACAAGCCAAAGGAACCTCGGTGTGTGAAATGCAGCTAAGATCAGACAGCATATGAAGGCCTGAGACTGCCCACCTGAAACAGTATACCCCACCTCCACACCCTCTTCAGGCCCCTCACTCGGCTCCAGTTTACCAGAGATTTTAGCACCAGCTGAAAACATGTATAAGGGGGCTATTACTAATAGTATTATAAGCTCCACAAGGGCAAGAATATGTACCACGACATAGCTAGCACAAAGTAGCAACTCCATAACACTGAATGAATGGAATGCCTTCACTGTTGGCCCTAGAGGCGTATCACAGAAGGGCTACCAGCTCCTAACACTGGGCGGCACCATCTAATCCAGCAGAAGAAAGGTTTCCCAATTTATTTTCACCATGATCTAATCTATGTTCTCATACCTTACATGAGAGAGAGAGAGAGAGAGAGAGAGAGAGAGAGAGAGAGAGAGATCCAAATCCTTTACCTATTTGTAAAACAACACATACACAACTCAAACACCATTTAAATTCTGTGCCTGGGTATTTGCTTTCAAGATACTCTGCACATTTAAAACCCTCAAGGAGATACCAAAAACAGACATAATATTCTGGGATTTATAGCTCAGTGCTAGAGCATGTGCTTAGCAGGTACAAGGTTATGAATTCAATTCCTGATACCAATGAATAAACAAACACACATGGTTACAAAACATGTTAAATTCACCACAGGTCTCTGAGTTAGAATTTCCTCTTTTATCAAGCAAAATAACTTTCCTAATTTAATAGATCCAGTGACATCATCTACTAACCAGAATTTACTTTCACTGGACTTGTTTGCAAAGCAAAAGGGCTATGATCAGGAAGGTTGTATCAACACAAAAGCTCCTGGCTTGAGAACACAGACCTGAGTGAGGAAAGGTGCCCTTCCTGCACTGGTTCTGAAAACTACCAATGCAAAACCTTTCCTAAATAAGCTCTAATATTGCCAGTGTGACTGTTTAAAGAAGGAACTACTTGGAGGAAGATACTGCCTGTAAATCAAGCAAATCCCACAAATCCTGCTTGCTGAAATCAAGCTGCCATCCCTCCATCCAGACAAGGCTTCATTTTAGCTGGATTCCAGTTCTATCCAAAAATACACAGACCCAGAGTTTTAAAAATCCTTTAAAAATAAAAAGCCTGTCATTCTCTCCATCACTCTGCTGTGAAATTAAAAACTCTTTTCCTCACAACAGAAATGATATCATATTTAAGGCAATGGCATAAGAACATCAACTGTTTTCCATCTCAAGAACAAATTATATGACAAAGAATATTTTTCATCTTTATTTTCCTATAATCTAAATCAAACAAAATCATGAAGGAACCAAATGTATTTTATAGGTACTGAGTATGCTATACTGCTAATAAATCTAATCTTAAAACAACAAATCATTTGCAGAATTCCTCCAAAACATCTGGGTTTTGTAGAAATGATGAAATGAGGAAAGGTACAAACAGATTATGAGAGAAAAAGGAGCAGGTGAGGTGAAAAACTGCCCGTCTCCTTCAGCAATTCTAACAAGATATTTTTGCATTGCTAATACTAAATTTCTCAATAGCTAAAGCATATGTCTTAAGTTTTTAAGACACTTTCATAAAGTAAAAGGAGATAGGTCATTGGGCTTGTTTTTGTTTTTCTTTTTTCTAATTTCAGTATTTTGATGCACTACAGATTTGGGGTATGCTAATCAGGAGAGCAAGTGGACTATACAAAATAAAAAGAGAAGCAGCATAAATCATAGTGTAAGATTATGAAGTTTGGGTGCTGTGAAGTATATTGTATTTATATGTAGCTCTGTAAATTGCCTCCAAGGCTGAATTAGTGGCTTCATCCCAAATGAGATGTCCTATATTTTTAATGTGCATGGTTGACTTCACTTTGACTTTAATATTAAGGTCTTGCAATTTCAAAGAGAGAGAGAGAGAGAAAATGTAATGCCATAGCACTGGGCTAGGGAAGAGTGGAGAGATGATGATGATGAAGGAGGAAGACAGCTCCTCCCTCTCCAGTTCACACCGGGCTCAGCCAAAGGAGCACCCGGGAATAACCAGTGTTTACTGTTTGGTTTCATACTAATTTCCAGGTTCATCAGGGTAAAGAATTCTTGAAACTCTGGTCTTAGAAACTTAATGTGCAGTTGGAGAAATATTCCCAGGTAAATCATGCTTTTATGTGCCAAACTGCTGTTTAAAAGTAATTTTCTCTTGTCTATTTTCAACACGAATTCTGGTGAATTGAGACAGGGAACTATATTTAAAGCGCAAATCAGGGCAGGCAATAGAAATCAGACCTTTTTCATGATAACTTTAAATAATTCAAGATGATGAATGTGTTAACACACCTATAAAGAAAGATAAAACAAGATTTTACAAGTAGCCTGGGACTCAGTTTTTATTGGCTAGACTAAGCCCCAGAGCTCAAGAAAACTCAAGGAGTTAATTGCAGTGCACTTAGGCACACTGTTCAACTGTTTTCTGCTTCCCATGAGAGGGAGAAAGACCCTGCCTTCGTGCAAGGAAGATAACTGGGCCTCCTAATTCCCAAGTCCATTTTGTACCTGGTTTCCTGATTTGTCTTCTCAAATTCTCCCAGAAGCATCTATCATAGAAACTAAAATAAATAAATAAATACTAACCTCAGAATCAAACACTCCACCTCAAGGGTGGGGAGTGGGAGTAAGGAGATTAGTTAAGCCTTCAGAGTCCAGCCTGACACATAGGAAAACTCAGGCAGGCTGGGTGTGGTGATACACATATATAATCACAGTACTCAGGAGACTGAGGCAAGATGATCAAGAGTTAAAAGTCAACCTAGGCTACTTTGAAAAAAGTAACCTAGGCCAGAAAAAAAGAAAAAAAAAAGAAAAACTCGGGCAACAGCTGAGGTCATGCTGATAACCAGGATAATGATGACTATCCATCTGTGTCAGTGTCTAGGCAGTTGTAACCCCTGCACAAAAGCCCAAGCAGGGGCTATAACCTATGCAGTCACCAAGATGCAATGAACTTTCTGCTGTAAGGCCCAGTAGGAGGAAGCCCTTGGAGCTTTCTTTCTTTACTGTGACCTACTTATAAAAACGTTTCTGTTCCCCTGGCAGCTCTGGCCTCCGGGGCTGGCCCTCCCCAGAGCTTTCCAGGTTTAATTCCAGGTCCTGGGAGGGAGCCTGCAGATTCCGGATGCACAGCTCAAGGCCAGTTTGCTTGTTTCTAATCACCTGCTTTGAAGGTAATCCACTGCAGCTGAGGGAAGAGAAGCAAACACAACATCCACAGCTCAGCACACAGGGCCCAGTGGGAGGAGACAGGCATAGGGAGCTGGCTTGCTCCGTCCTCTAGGTCAAATCCATCACCCCTGTGGTTGCAGACACACTGAGAAGCAGCTGCAGTCACCACCCTTGGGCACCACAGCCAAACCAACACAAAATCAGCCCAAGTGTGACTGAGGATCCAATGGCTCAGCAAGTGTAACATTCCAAAAAGGCCTGAGGTTGTGTGCAAAGCGCTGCAGACGTCAGCAGCCATCATTATCATCAACACGAGTCACTCACAGTTTCATCTGTTCAATAGACAAGACTGTTTGGTTTTTGGTTTTTGGTTGTTGTTTTGTTTTGAGTCAGGGTCTCACTGTGTAGCTCTGGCTGGCCCGGAACTCACTATGTAGACTA